AGCCTACTCGTCCCGTCCGCAGTGCGCATGTGTGGAATGTGCGTCGCACTCTCCGACTTCCCTCCTCTCTGTCTCTCGACTCCTCCTCTCAGTCTAGACTAACTGATGCACACTTGCATCCCTTGTTACGACTAGCAGTGACAAATATGGAACCGGACATCGACCATCTCATTAGCCAACAGCAGGCCCATAGTTCCCATTGAAATACTGGTAAGTTTGTTGATTTAACTTTACTTGTTCTTTTTTTTTTTTTTACTTGTTCTTTATTTTAAATATTGTATTTGTTCCCGTTTTGTTTTTTCACTTCAAAATAAGATATGTGCAGTGTGCATAGGAATTTGTTCATAGTTTTTTTTTTTTAAACTATAGTCTGCCCCTCCAATGGTCTGAGGGACAGTGAACTGGCCCCCTGTTTTAAAAGTTTGAGGACCCCTGCTTAACACATTAAGATCCTAGATAGAAGCCGAGCTTGGTGACTCAGCCTGTAATTCCGCACCTTGGGAGGCTGAGGTGAGTGGATTGCCTGAGCCTGTGGGTTCGAGACCCGCCCGGGCAACTGGGTGAGACCTCATCTCTACAATAAAAAAAAAAAACACACAGCCGGGCTTGGTGGCTCAGCCTGTAATCCCGCACCTTGGGAGGCTGAGGTGAGTGGATTGCCTGAGCCCGCGGGTTCGTGAACCGCCTAGGCAACTTGGCGAGACCTCATCTCTACAATAAATAAAAAATTAGCAGGGTGTGGTAGCGCGTGCCTGTAGTTCCAGCTACTTGTAAGGCTGAGGCGGAAGGATCACAGGAGCCCAGCAGGTCGAGGCTGCAGTGGCCGGGAGCAGCCATTGCACTCCAGTCTGGGCGACAGAGTGAGACTCCGACTCAAAAAAAAAAAAAAAAAAAAAAAATATATATATATATACATACACATATATATATATATATATATCTCTTAGATCCAGGGGCAGTGGCTCAAGCCTGTAATCCCAGCACTTTGGAAGGCAGAGGCGAGACGTTTGTTTGAGCCCAGGGGTTCGAGAACAGCCTGGGCAACTTGGTGAGACCTCATCTCTACAATAAATCAAAAAATTAGTCGGGCGTGGTAGTGCACGCCTGTAGTTCCAGCTACTTGGAAGACTGAGGTGGGAGGATCATCTGAGGTCAACAGATTGAGGCTGTGGTGGCCGTGAGCGTGACACTCCACTCCAGCCTGGTCAATGGAGTGAGACTCCAACTAAAAAAAAAAAAAAAGATCCTAGATAATTATGGAAGAAAAACGTGGTAAATAGTTGCCTGGATAAATACATGCTACTGCCTGTAATGGTTCTTTTCCATCTTCAAAAGCTGTGACTGAGTTGGAGGTACATTTCGTAAGCTGGAATAGAGGGCACGGGGTATTTCTCTGGAGAGGACCCTAGACATCTCAGTGTGAAGTGGAGATCTCATCCACATCCTGAGCTACTGAAGATGCTGGCTGCGGATGTGCCTTCATGTCCGCTAACCAAGGTTAACCACGTGACACCTCCCAGAACAGGGGAAAGTCCCCCCATGGAGCTCAGAGCCAAGGAAGCACATTTCTGCCATTTCGTGAAGCTACTTTGCCCTTGTTTCTGGTCAAAATGTGTTCAAAAATACTGACAAGCAGCTTCAGAGTATCTTGCTACCTCAGCAAGGTGTTTCTTACCATAAAAAATACGGTTGGCTGGACTTGGTGGCTCAGCCTGTAATCCCAGCACTTTGGGAGGCTGAGGCGAGTGGATTGCCTGAACCTGCGGGATCGAAATCAGCCCAGGCAACTTGGAGAGACCTCATCTCTACAATAGATAAAAAAAAGTACCCAGGTGTGGGGCTACTTGAAAGGCTGAGGCAGAAGGACCGCTAGAGTTCAGCAGGTCAACGCTGAGGTAGCTGTGAGCATGCCACTGCTCTCTAGCCTGGGTGACAGAGTGAGACTCCAACTCAAAAAAAAAAAAAAACCAAAAACATAAAACAAAAAGACACTGTTACAACTGACCAGGGTTGTTTCCCAGGCTGTCCTATTCCATACACCAGGTGCTGCTAGAGGGAACTGGGCCTGGCCAGCAGGCATGGTGACTGCTGCAGCTCTGGTCAGGCCCCAGCTGCCACCCCTCACCTCCCCCATTTCCCCACCCTCTCACCCCTCTGCCCTCCTCCCATCCCCACCCCGCTGAGAGGGCAGCTTTCATGCCTTCTAGGGTGTGACCAAACAAGAGGAGCCACAGGCCTGGGGAGGATTGGATAGCAAGGAGTGTGGTTTCCAGAGCCCCAGGGAGAAAGCAGCTTGGGTGGGTGAGGCCCAGGCTCGTAGGCGTTTTCTCTTTGCATATCCAGGCCTGAGGTCACTTCTCCAGCAGCTGCCCTGGGCTCTGTCTTCTCAGTCTCATTGTATGAGCTTCTAAGGACCCCTCTTGCCAGCTCCACGCCTCTCCCCCTCTTCCTGCCAGGGAACTGTGGGGTGTGGTGTACATCGTGGAAGTGGGGTGAGGACTCCGAGGCCAGTTCGTGGTCCAGGCCATGTCGACATGTGTGTGCCCACCAGCCCCTTTCCTGTCACCATTCTTGGCATCCTTAGACTCCAGAACCATGGATCAGACCCATGACTCATGACACTAAAGATTTCCCCCAGGGATCAGGGAGCTGGGCCCTCAGGTGTGCAACAGAGTGGGATCAGGAGGTTGCTCTGGGGACTGAAGGGGACCTTAAAGATGGGTGTATATATGGATGTCTAAAAGGACTGAGAGTAGCCGGGCGTGGTGGCTCACACCTGTAATCCCAGCACTTTGGGAGGCGGAGGAGAGCAATTGCCTGAGTCCAGGGGTTCAAGACCAGCCTGGGCAATTTGGTGAGGCTTCGTCTCTACAATAAATTTTTTAAAAATTAGCTGAGCGTGGTGGTGTGCACCTGTAGTCCCAGCTACTTGGGAGGCTGAGGCAGAAGGATCCCCTGAGCCCAGCAGGTCAAGGCTGTGGTGGCCATGAGCATGCTACTGCGCCGCCAGCCTGGGCAACAGAGACTCTGACTCAAAAATAAAATAAAAAATAAAAATAAAAAAGGACTAGACTGGGCATGGTTGGTTCAAGCCTGTAATCCCAGCACTTTGGGAGGGAGAGGTGAGAGGATTGCCTGAGCCCACGGGTCTGAGACCAGCCTGGACAACTTGGCAAGACCTCATCTCTACAATAAATCAAAAAATTAGCTGGGCATGGTGGTGTGCGCCTGTAGTTACAGATACTTGGAAGGCTGAAGCAGAAGGATCACCTGAGCCCAGTAGGTCAAGGCTGCGGTAGCTGTGTGTGTGCCACGGCACTCCAGCCTGGGCAACAGAGTGAGACTCCAGTTAAAAAAGAAAAAAGAAAAAAGAACTGAGTGAAGAATCATGATTTTCTGTGCACATGCCTATAGCTGCTGATGAAAATAACTAAAAAAAAAAAAGCATTGGGTTTGGAAGATTGCTTGGCATTATCTGTCAATATTTAGAATGCACATGTTCTTTCACCGAGCAAGTCATGATTACAAGTGAAAAATGTATCCTATATACATTTTGATACATGTGCACAAGGCATCTTTGATAAGGGCATTTAATATAGCACTGTTTGCAGTAGCAAGAACATTAGAAACAATTTAAAAGTTCATCATTAGGGAACTAGTTAAATCAAACACAGCACATTCACATTAAGAAGTACATATTTTGTGGCCTTTAACAAGAGCAAGTGGGATTTATGATACTGATACAAAAAAGACCTCTAAGATGTATTGAGCAAAATAGGCAGGTGAGTATAACCCCTCACAACTTGCATACACACAAGTGAGGAGTGTGCACACATGAGCTTGCGCATGCGTAGCCTGTAACTGGAAGGGTACAGAAGAGACCACACCCTAGTTTTTAAGAAGGGAAGTACAGGGAGAAAGACATCCTTTTACAATGTTTGAATTTTTAAATTATATGTATGCATTTTCTAGATTTATCAAGTATCAACATTTCCAAAAGTAGGGTTGGCAATAAACTGTGGTTGTAGAGTCTATTTATATAGTCTGGTCTATATAGCTTATGTGGTGTGATAGGTCACCATGCATTGTGGGGGGATTTCCCAGTATTGTGGGGGCATTCAAAAGAGTGACTATGCATTTGGAAATAAATCTGTGAGTAAGAAGATAGTAAAGATAGGTAGGAGGGAGGGAAGGGAACTGGCGAGGTGGCTCATGCCTATAATCCCAGCACTTTGGGAGGACAAGGCGAGAGGATTGCTTGAGCCCAGGAGTTCAAGACCAGCCTGGGCAGCATAGCAAGACCCTGTCTCTACAAAAAATTAGCCCAGTGTGGTGGCCTGAGTCTGTCGTCTCAGCTACTCAGGAGGCTGAGGTGGAAAGATCGCTTGAGCCCAGGAAGTCAAGGCTGTGGTGAGCCGTGATCGTGCCACTGTACTCCAACCTCGGCTAGTGAGACCATATTTAAAAAAAACCCCAAAAAACAAAAAACAGGCCAGGAGGGACTTAGAAGTGACGCCAATGTTTGAAACAGTCACAGGAGAGCCTTTTCACTTGATTGTTGTTTCCTTCAAAGCAGTCTGGAGAGCCCAGATGGTCAGGATCTTTGAGCTCAGTGCTAACAACGTGTCGACTTCTGTGTGGATCTTCGGGTGGTGACGTGATACTCACTGGTGACACATATGTGTCCACAGAGGATCTGAATTTTGGAAACTGTCAAACGTCATTGGGTCACAAGTTTAGTTAAAGAATGAGAGATCAAATTAGGCAATTGCTCTTGTCATTAAAAAAAAAAAAAAAAGCCACAGAATCAGAGCAGGCTGCTATTCCGGTGCACCTTAAAAACTGGCTCCGACAACGAGGCCCCAAAAGGATGCTTAGGAAAATGAGGTGTGTCTCGGGGGCGTCGTCGGACGAGGCCGGGGTGCGGCCGCTTGGGAGGAGTCCGCGCGCGCCTGGGAAGCTTGGGGTCTGCGTGTGTGTCCGGGGACTCGGCCGCGGGCTCAGCTCTTCTTGCGCAGCTGGCTGTACTGCGCGCGGCCCAGGATGGGCTCCATGACGCTGGGCCGGAAGAAGCTGTCGCTGACCCTGCGCCTCGGCTTCTCGCGGGGCACGGCCGGGAAGCCCGGGCGCGGCGCGGCGGGCGCATCGCCCCGGTCCTC